ATGAAAACTATAGTGAAAAAATTTTTTGTTTCAAAGGACAGAAGTCTGAAAAAATCCCTAAGATTTAAGAATAAGAAAAGAAAAATAATAAGTTAAACAAATAAGTAAATAGAAACTCAAGTAGAGAGATTTAATGGGGGCTGGGGGACAAGTCATCAAAGACACGGGAAGAGACACCCAGAACAGAAGAACCAGTATTTTCATAAAAGGTGAGAGGAGGACATTCCTGGATTGTAACACATTTAATGAGCATGAGTCAAGAGGAAATTATAAATGTTGTGCACCAGTGCAGATGGCCACTCTTGGAATAACTGGGGAAACATCCCTGGAAGGAGAGAACACCATGAATATAGGACAAGAGCTGCTCTTGACAAGTAGGTGAACACCAGAGTTTGCTGAAATGGGTCACAGTGGCGGAGGTGTTCATGGCCACATCATCCTGCTACCCAACCCGACATGGACGGGAAGAACTCATTCAAGCCTGGCTCCTACACCAGATGACCACACCTGGCCAGCCACTATAGCCAACACACAGGACACTGCATGGCAGAGTAAATAAATAGTAAATAAAAAAAATGTAATACATTGATTACATCTAGTAATCACATAGATAATATGTCAATATTATCATATAAATACTATAGTCATTCTCTCCGGGGACAGGTTACTCAGCAAAATACCAACCAGTCAACCAAACAGTAAGTTAACTCTTCAATTCAGAGAGGAAAAAAAAAAAAAAAAAACTGAGTAAGGAACTGCCGTATCTTTGTGCTTCAACGGAAAATAGGGAAAATAGAGCTGTGGATTCTGTACTCTCCAAATTCTACAGAATTGTTCTGTAACACTAGCAAACTTCAATAAGATAGGCATAATAGTGACTTTATAGATTCAAAAAGTGAGAACAAGGGCGCCGGGGTGGCTCAGTTGGCTGAGCTATGAACTGTTGGTTTTGGCTCAGATCATGATCTCGTGATTTGTGAGTTCAAGCCCCAGGTTGTGCTCTGCGCTGACAGTGCTGAGCCCATGTGGGATTTTCTCTCTCCCCTTCTTTCTGCCTCTCCCCCACATTTACACACACTTTCTGTCTCTCTCAATAAATAAATTAACTTTTTTAAAAAGTGAGAATAAATTTACACAATACGGAGAAGTTTTCATCTACTTCCTGTTGTCATCTCCTCAATTAGCACAGAGTTGAGTGTATGTTAGGGACCGCTAGATATCCATCACAGTAATAAATGAATAATAATTAGCACAGGTCTACAAATTGCTTTAGTACCCAGAGACATCATGTATATATATATATATATATATTTTTTTTTTTTTACATATTCAATATAATATTAAGCTTGGTGTTTGTGAAGACATTAATTTTTGCCAAAGACAGTTTTCTGTCATAGAAAAACACATAAAACATTTATTAAAGTTTATAAACACGTGATGATTTGCATTCCACTAAACACTCGATTTTTATTATACCCTGGTTCATGAGTTAAACACTGTGCTAGCTCCTGTTGTACAGTTTTCCTGAGGTGATAAACTCTGCATGCTTTGTGGCAGAGCTAAGAATGGTTTTTCATGTCAACAATACCACTGACGTAATGGGTAGGAAATTTCATATCAATGCAGAAGGTGAACAGGTGTCCAAGCTTTCAAAATGTGAAGAATTAGTTCAGAAAAGGATCAGCAAGTATGTAATTACAGTCATCATGTCTTGTGTAGCTGACATAAATGATTAGTTCTCTCGCTCTGAACAGCAATGCTTTACTTATTGAAATTTCCAGAAATTTTAGCAAAATGTGTAAAGGAAACTTTTAAAAAAGGAATAAAGAAAAAAAAAGACAGACATAAAGACAGCAATGTGAATGTGAAACTCAAAACCCAGCTCCAGTTCTTAACCCTAGTGAAGTAGAAGGGACCCAAAGCAGCAGGTAGAAATGCACAAGGAACCTGGATGGCATCCCTGGATTAGATCTTACTTTCCAACCATTGCTGTGAAAATATTTCCTTCCCTAGATGATCTTACAATGCGTCTTCCACCCTCCTCCTATCAGGAGATGGTACATACTGTTAGTCCCTGAATCTGGGAGAGGTTTAGCTACAACAGACGGGGCAATGCAAAGTAGGAGTCCAGTTCATGGAAGTTCTACCTAATACCCCTGGGAAGCTCCCTCTTAGAACCCAGCACTTTGCTGTGAGGAAGCCCTGTCAGCCAAAGGCCCCATGAGGAGACTGAATGAAGCCTCCAGCTCCTGGCCCTGGCTGAGCTCCAGCCAACAGTCAGAGTCGACTTGCTAAGTTAACCATTCTGAAAGTGGTATTTAGGCATCAGGCACGGTGCCCCAGCTGATGGAGCAGAGATGGGTTGGTCCCGCAAGTATGGCAAACCTGCAGCTTTCATGAGCAAATTTAAAAATTATAATTTGAAGACAAGCAAGTCTTGGTGGTGGGTTCATGCAGCGATTGATAATCAGATCAAGTGCCTAATTTTACAAGTAAATATGCCCCTTATTAAATAAATATTTGCCTAACTATTCAAATAGGTAAAATTAAAAATCTCCATTTCACAGAACATTAAACAATGGGTCAATCTGTTAAGAAGGATGATGAAGCATAAAACCTGATCATCCTGATTTTTCTAGCAGAGCGTTTAATTCAAGATACATGACTTTAAAAGAAAACCCTTTTGGGGCATCTGGGTGGTTCAGTCAGTTAAGCTCAGTCACTTTAGCTAAGATATGATCTTGTGGTCTGTGAGTTCAAGCCCTGCATCAGGCTGTGTGCTGAACAGCTCACAGCCTGGAGCCTGCTTCGGATTCTGTATCTCCCTCTTTCTCTGCCCCTACTGGACTCGAGCCTCTGTCTCTCTCTGTCTCTCTGTCTCTCAAAAAGCAAGTAAATGTTAATTTAAAAAAAAAAAAAAGACAGCTTTTACTTATTAGTTGTAAGGCCAAGAAAAGCTTGGGATGCCTGGGTGGCTCAGTCGGTTAAGTGTCTGACTTCGGCTCAGGTCATGATCTCATGGTTCGTGGGTTTAAGCCCTGTGTCAGGTTCTGTGCTGACAGCCAGCTCAGAGCCTGGAGTCTCCTTTAGATTCTGTGTCTCCCTCTTTCTCTGACCCTCCCCTGCTCACACTGTCTCTCTCAGAAATAAATAAAAGCATTTTAAATTTTTTTTTTTTAAAAAGGCCAAGAAAAGTTATGTAAGCTCTGTATCTCAGACATGTCATCTGCCAAGTGACCACAATAGTGGTAGCTGCCAACCAGATTCCAGTTAATATTCCTGTAGAGTTTAGCACAGTTCATGACAAACTGAACAATCTTTATAACCAGTAGTCACTATTATCATTTACACTTCTCCCCCAAATCTGGAGCATGGCCTTGTCTTTACCATGAAACTCACAGGAATGACAGAGATGCTTAGTTTGCTATCTGGAAGGGAGAGGAAGGGATGCTCAGAGATGCTTTATAAAACCGATGCCCTCTGCTTCCCAGACACCAACAAGGCATCGAGTCCTATTAAACGGTCATTACGCTGACCCAGCTGTCTTTAGTCACTGAGTCCCTATGCCCCTTCTCTTGCTCCTCATTGGTATGACAGCTACATAAATTAACTCAAAAATTAACTAATACTAAAATATTTTCCTCACAATTTCAATTAAGCTTTCAAAAAATAATGTTCACTCTCATTAGTAGTCTTCTTGCTGGTATATTCAACAAAATCACACCATGGAAAATAACCACAGGCGATCTATAACTGTTTGTCCAGACAAGTTCTACATTAGCCTTTCTGTCTTCGAAATCACTGCATTTGGCTGAAAATTTGTATTATTTTCTTCATTAAATGCACGTCGTAACATTTATTCCCACCCCCCACCCCACCCCAGCTTTTTTGGTTAACACAAGCCAACTAGACCAGGAGTTATTTATGTTGGAAGACACAAGAGTACATCTCCACCATTTAGGATCTACTAGACCTTAAAGGAAGGCTCAGAGATGGAACACTGAATAAGGATCCTTAGAAGTGCGTAGAATGCAACATAATTTACACTTAGGAGAAGGAATTTCTTTTTTTATCCTTTCAAAATCTCAAATACAGAGAGGATCCCCCAAACCACAGTTCTTATGTGTTTAAGAGGAAAAAAGAAAATCAAATGCATCCCAACAAAGTCTGACATCCTGAGCCACATTCCAACCCAGAAAGCTAGTGCTTTCCAGAAGAACTGCAAAGACATTAGTCAAACAAAGATGTTCACCTCCTAGGAACGTGGCTTCTTAAGAATAATAATTCTTAAACAGAATTATTATTATTATTTTACTTTTAAGGGAGAAACTGACAATTTAGTTTAAGCAGGATATCTATTCGCCTTATAACTTTTATTCTTAGGTATAAATATTTATTACCCAGGTAGGCCCAAGCTGTGAATGCCAAGCTGACAGCAACTTATAGCTCTATTAGCATATTGAAAGAACAGTTGCAGAATCGAGTGTAGAAGATAAGTATTCAGGCCTTACCTTTCTGCTTCTTTAACATCCATCTTTAAGGGATAGAAATGTTCATTCATAATTCATTAGCTTCCACCTCCAAACAGCCAACCAAAATCTCCAACAACATTTTAGAACTCTAAGAGGCTTAAAAATACTCTATTGACCTGTACGTCTTCTGGCTGAAGACTTGTACATTTAAGGAAATACTGAAAACAGTTCTTGGAGTTTCCTAGAACATGTTGGCAACTGAACTCTGTTATGATTTATAGGTGGAAAGAATAAAATAATCAGGTCAAATGGGCAGTTGCTTCACGACACACATTCAACTTTGTAAATGAAGGACTAAGGTGTGGTGACCAAACTTTGCCATACTCTCTAAAATGGTTTTAGACATAAATACTTTTCAACACCCACACAGTGCAGTTTGCTCTTCTCTCCTAATACATCTGCCAAATACTTGAATGGGGTGTCATTCAAAGAGGTGTAAGTAAAGGGAAAGAACGCGAGTATATTTACCGGAGTTCTGAGCTCAGGTATGGCAGCTTGGTAGGTGAGCGGACGACAGTCACGGGTGTTTGGCACAAGGACGCAAGGAAGAAACATCGGACCCAAGTCATCTCCGTCCAGAACATCCACCGTGAGCGTGGTGGTGGTGGTTCGCCGCTCATTCAGATTTTGTGCCCGGTCCTGGGAGAGAGGAAAACAGAGAAGAAAAACAAAAACAAAAAATAACGAGTGGACTTCACGTTCCCATCAGCTTGAATAGACTGGAGACAGGATTCTTCCTGATCATGAGCACCTGATCTCTCTTAGAGCATTTACATTAGAAAACGTGCAACTGCAAATAATTGTGCTGCCCTCTCACAGGGCAATCTTCTCCCAGCTCAAACCTCTTCCAGGTGAACCATCCAGCGCTCTTCTTCAAGGACCTGGGAGCTGCCCCTTTGGAAAGTAATCACCAAAGAAGACTGAGTCCCCACATCCCTGTCTCCGTGGGAGAGTAGGAGTCTAACCTCCATGCGGACGCTTGCTCCACATTGTGAAAATATCTCCCATCCTTAAGACATGAAACAATTCCACTTCTCCTTTGGAAAGGCCAATTAGCAAACACCCTTGGCTCTTGAGTCCTCCACTGTAACCCCAGCCTGGTTCTCTCTCTGTGTTTTTTAATGATAGTTCAAGCCATCTAGAGACATTTTAGATGAATTTTGGTTATTTGCAAAAAAAAAAAAAAAAAAAACAACAAAAATGTAAACAAAAACCCCAAATACACACACAAAAATATAAAATAAAATGAAGGGAGAAAAAAGACAAGAGAAGAAAACCCGCCAGATGTGCTATAGTCTCAACAGATAAATGCTGTTTAATGGCTCACCTAAGTTTTTCTGGTATAAGGTATTTTGAAACTAGCATTGCTTTTCTTCTGATAGGACGATGCTGTCACTGAAATAACTTAGTTTTCCAAGCTTTCAGGTGACAACTGTCTTATTTTGCTTCTTTACTGTTTGGGATTCTAAAGCCACAGCTTCTAGGAAAGGTACCCTTGTAGCAATAATGGGAATTATCTATTCAATATTCTCTCTTTTTCACTACATTATGGAACAATGAGAACAGGTGGATACACAGCCATGTTGATGTGCCAAATGCCGCTGAATTGTTCACCTCAAAATGGCCAATTGTATGTTTTGTCCATTTTCCTCATTGACTTTTTAAAAAAATAGTATACTTGGCTGCCAGGAAAGAGGTGGGAGGGATGGAAGGAATAGGTGATGGGAATTAAGGAGTGCACCTGTTGTGACAAAGACTATGGAGATACGTTAGTGTGGAATCACTGTGCTGTATTCCTGAAACTAATAAAACACTGTACTTTTAAAAAATATACTAATAGACTGATATTTATTTTGCTGCTTATAAAGCATTTTCCTGTGTGACATTTACCAGACATCACTATTTTCTTACCAGTTAAAAATAAGCTTTGTGTACAACACTGCACTTCAGTTCTGCTCTTTCCCAATCCGGTTGCTCAAGAAAGTGTCATAAGGAAGTGTTGTTGGGTAAAATCTCAGAAGACAGAAAAAAATCTCTACTGGTGGAATTTTGTATAAGTAACCATTCAGGACTATAACTCTGCAACTCCACCTTCTTTCATGTTTAGAACCCTTAGAAGATAGATTGTGGTCAAATTGTGGGGGGAAATGTTTGAATTTCTAGAGTGTGAGGACCATGAAGAGACTCAGAGTTGATCTAAAGATTATTTTCAAGATATTTGACATTGAACATATACAGAAAGAAGTTTTCTTTTATCTCACTAAAAACCAGAAACTTATGGAAATGAGGCTGCCACGAATCCCAGAGGGGTGTTTTAGGGGCTGGTTACAGACACTGAGAAAACAAATGAACCAAACTAGAAAACACTTAGCACCTGTGTGAACACACGTTCCCACAATGTCCTTACCTCCTCTTCTCCCTAGAAACCCCTAGAAACCTCTTCTCCCTACTCCCCCAGTAAGTGAGGCTCTAAACACTCATCCTGAACAGTGCAAGGAGTCATTTCTTCTGTTTGCCCCATGTGCATATGAACAGACTTTTTTTCTATTATTCTATCTTTTGTCCCTGTAATCTGCAAGTCCCCAGTTAGTCAGTCTAAGAGGGTAGAGGGCAGGTTTTCCTTCTCAAAATAGGGGTGAATATAATTGAGATTAATCATTACAAGATTATACCAATAATTATGATTGGTTGAATTTACAAGGTATAGAGGTTCTTAAGAAGTCCTTCTGTAATTCTAAATTTTTCTATTCCATTTATTTTATTCAGTACAGTTGAAAGTACAGTAGAAGCAGCAGTGGCATATGAGATAATTTTGGTGCTCCACAAATCAGTTTTTAAAATCACACTTTAGGGCGCCTGAGCGGCTCAGTCAGTTCAGCGTTTGACTTAAGCTCAGGTCATGATCATGCAGTCTGTGGGTTTGGACCCTGTGTCTGGAGCCTGCTTCTGATTCTGTGTCTCCCTCTTTCTCTGTCCCTCCCCTGCTCATTCTTTGTCTGTTTCTCTCAAAAATAAACATTACAAAAATTAAATATACATATGTATATATATATATATATATATAATACTTTAAATGTAGGAGTTTTGAGTACAGACAGAAAATAACTATTATTATTATTAAAGTACAGTTGACACACAATGGCACATTGGTTTCAGGTGTACAACACAGTGATGCAATGTGTAATACTGTGCCATGTCCATCACACCTACAGCTGTCATTGGTCACCACACAAGTATGACAGTATCACTGACTCCATTCCCTGTGCTGTGCCCTTCATCCCCATGACTTACTAATTTCATATCTGGAAGCCAGTGTCCCCCTCTCTCCTTAACCCACTTTGCCCCTCGCACACTCATCTCCCCTCTGACAGTTACCATTTTGTTCAAAATACTAACTTGGCATTTATTGTAAATTTTAAAAGGTACTTATTGTATTTTTATTAGGTATTTATTTTAAATTTTAGAAACCACAACTGGCTCATCAGATCTGCCATTTTAAAATTATGATTGCTTAGAATGAAGTTTTTCAAAAGACTAAAGCAATCAAAGCTGATAAAAATATTAACATTTGATGTGATATGGATGTGGAAAAAACATTTGAATACCCCATAAGTAGTATCTCTGCACTTACATGCCACCCAACCTTGCCTCTTAAAGGTCATCACCAAGTGACTCTAGTAGATTGCGTTGAGTGTTTATCAAACTCTTTCAGTCTGTCAGCAACAAATCTAACTGTTCTCTGCCTCTGCAGTCCTTAAAATGGGTACAAGTACATAAGGATGGGTGTATGTAGAGTTACCAAAATACATAATATAGACTTCTATGTCATATGTCACCAGCTAGACCCCAAGACTTGACCTTGACTGCCCACCTGCTTGTACTCACCAACCTTTGTCTCACATTTTCCCTTAAGCTCTTCTCTCCAGCTTACTCTTGACTCAGGCAAAGGAAAGTGAAACCTCCCCTCAAGTGAGTGACTGTCCAGACAAGACCTCCAGCCAGCCTGGCCTGGCCCGGCCCGACCAGTTTGAACTTCACCCCTTACTCACAACTGCACCAATGGGCCATGGCGAGACCTCCAGAACACTGAGAGCCACGTCCACCGCATTGTGAGGCTAAAGTCTTCACTCAAGGGGGAGCGCAAATCTCATGACATAACAAACAATGTGTGTACAAGCAGGTTTCCATAAGACACATGCAAGACCTTATGCCTGCCTCTACAGGTGATGACGACGCTCCCCTCTCTAAATATTCCTCCTAACCCTCAACAAAGGAACCACCCACCCTTCCTGGAGGGGTCAGGGCTTCCATTCCCTGCAATCTCCTCATTGGCTGCAAATAAAGTTTTCTTTGTGAAGCATTTCATCTGGCACCGACTCTGACTCACCAAGGAGCGACTCATGTTGGTTTGGTTCTGATAGTGGGAAAAGTTACTGTCTACCAAGTGTTGATTGATAAAACATTAATTTTTTGTTTAAGGGGAAAGACCCCCCCATTTTTAAGTTTATTTTTATTTTTGAGAGACAGAGCACAAGTAGGGGAAGGGCAGAGAGAGAGGGAGACAAAGAATCTGAAGCTAGCTCCAGGCTCTGAGCTGTGCTCCAGGCACAGAGCCTGACATGGGACTTGAACTTGTGAACCAAGAGATCATGACCTGAGCTGAAGTCCGACACTTAATGGACTGAGCAACCCAGGCACCTCTAACTTTTTACTTGGAGAAAAAAATAGTAATGAAGCTACTGTCAGGGAGGAAAAAAATGCTCTCCATCCTTGTAGCTTCTTGGCTGAGATCCCATGCAACAGAAAACAGATTAGCAGGGCAAAAAATGGTTTAATGATATGTAGTCCCCCTGTATACACACACATATACCCTGGGATACTGGGCAACTCCCCAAAATGGCCCACGCTGTCACCTTAAGCACCATCCCCAACTACAGACAAAAGAAGATGCTGGAGCTGGAGAGTGGGGAAAGCCAGGTTTCAGGCATGCACAGTAAACAAGGCCCGCCCCTCTGACAGAAGGGTCCCCAGATTTAGTCCTTCTCTTCTTCCTGGAGGGAGAGAGACAGCCTTGCAGGGAGATTTCCAGTGTTCGCACCAACTCTACGTGGTCTTCGGACTTTCCCTGTTTTCTGCTGTTATGAAAACACAATTCTTATGCCAAGAGAGGCATATTTTGGGGTAACAAATTCTGCACCTCTCCAAGTCTACACGCAGAGAGGTGGCACTGAAACATACGGACAGCCCTTCTATGCACACGGATATTCCCCATGATTGGTCATTAACATATATAACATAAGGAGGGGTAGGAAAGTAAGTCTCTTGCTTGCTGCGCACTTGTGAGCCCATGGAAGGCTTTAATCCGTGATCTTCTTCTCTCAGTTTAGAACCAAATTTGATCTTAAAAATTCATCTAAAACACAGCCCCTGGAAATTCAGATAAAAACTGAAATGAAAAGAACTTTTTGCTCTTTCTAGTAAAATGCTACTCTGAAAATTATTCTAGATAAAAGAAGTAACCTTCTAAATTGGGAGTGGTATAAATAAAACATAATTATCTGCATAAATATTTTATGCGGTTTCCCTAAGTCTGTATTTTCATCCTTTGCTATGTGAGAATCTAAAAACATATTAAAAAC